TTTAGCATGAAAGAATATTTGGTCGAATATGATGGCGTAGACCACCTGCAAAATGGTCAACAGCATATCAAAATTTGCGGGGAAAAAAATCGCACCTGAATATACACTGCCATAGTACTCCGACCAACTGCTTGTCTCTGCAGGCCCATCGTCATCAGTACCTAAAAATATGGGCATCAATATCATTGATCTTTGCATCACCAGGCAGAGCGGCATCGAACCTGCGCAAAAAATCCATTGAATCCAATCATCAGAAATAGAGCGAGCCACTCGAGCTTTGTGGGAAGGACAATTTTGGTGCGCATGGCCAGCATCCTAAGTAAAGGTGATCACTGTACTGAAGGTCACACATGAGACGCAGGCCACCTACGCAATAGTCGACACGATGACGCATTGCGAGGAGAATGCGACAATATTGTGCAAGGGGTGCGCTCGAGTACCGATGGCACGAATAATTGTGTCTATGACCGATTTTTGAACAACAGTAGATATTCAGACCTGTAGCGATACTCACAGACTCCTGTCGCGCCCAGGGCGCCGAGTATTGAGACGCTATGGGCGGGGTGTGAGCACTCGTCTCGCGATCAGCTCGAGAGCGCCGTCACTTACCCGACAGCCCCAAGTCGCTGAGACGCCGTCACTTGTGAAGTCATAGCACCATTCAGAGCGGGGCCAGAGCCAGCCTCTCCGGGGTCTGGAGACGCAGATGGGACCTCAGCTGTGCTGCCAAAGAGGAAAGGCGGCCGAGCAATCAGGATGACGCCGACCAGACTGCAAACTACATGGTGTTCAGAGACCTTCGGATGCAAGGCCAGTTCGGAAGCACATACGTCCCGCGGCCACCTGCTTCCACGAGAACCGCTCTCCCAGGAACATGGATCCCGTAAAGGTCGTCAGAATCGGCGCCAGGAAGGTCAACACTGTGGCGTCTGCAAGCGAAAGATACTGGAGAGAGTAGTATATGCCAAACAGGCCAAAGAATCTGCAAGAACGTGTTTATAGGAGATTAAGCGCTGCTGGCTTTGTAGAGAATCGTACCCGGAGAAGCCGCGGAACACCAGCATCAGTCGTACGCCTTTGGGGCCGAGCAGCGGGTCTGGGATCTTGGCAAAGTACATGTAGGAGACTGAGCACAGCCACGTTATAGTCTGTGGAACCGAGGATGCCGGCTAAGAGCTAGAAAATGTACTCGAACTTGACTCGACGCACCATCCTGATCCAGATGAGCTGCATGGTGCTCACAGGAGGGTCGATGCCGCTCAGTTCTTTGACTGCCAAGTTCATCGAAGCATAGAACGCCTGTTTACTCCCTTGAGGCTCTGCGTGAGATCCGGAGCGATACGAACAATACGCACCTCGGAGGCTGCTACGAGCAGCATTCCCGTATTTTCCTGCACTACTTCCCTCGCCTGCTTGACGAAGCCGTTCCACATGTGTCCAGACCGCTGAGAGGACCTCCCCAGGTCCGTTCCAGCCCCTACAGCAGTCGCGCCCGACGCGCGCAGGCCCTGCACGCTCGATGGAAAGGTCGGCATCTCAGGCGTCCCGGCCTCATACGTCGTCCTCAGACTCGCACTCGCCATCGCACGGTAGGTCGTGGTTGCGGGGCAAAGCGCAGACGACGCGTCATCGCGTGCGCTTTGCTCTTGCCTGCGTGACTCGACCTCGGAACCGCATGTCGACCTTCTGTAGACGCTTACTTACAGGAACGGAAATGCGACTCGACGTGGAATGTTTTGGGAGCGCGAGCGCTGGCTGGGCGGCCAGTACGCGCTGCCGCCACAAAGCCCTCAGGGACGCCGGGCAACCCCGGGGCCGACCCTTGCTTTACTGTATACACAATTTTTTCGACTAGTATAAATACAACACTGTAGATACCATATTCCTGCCGCGGTCGCCATGTAAGTTTGGGACAAGGGTTTATCTGACGCTTGAACCAGCTGCCATGAAACACGCCCCCATCTAAACATCTTCGCGACTCTTGAAAGCTTCCTCTGTGCCAACATCTTGGTGCTCGAGGAGGCCTTCCTGTAAGACCAGATCCTCGGACGATGTACTCGGATCACCTGGATAGACATTAGATGGCGACGCGTCTAGTACTAATTATATATGTACTCACATGTCTAATTGTACAACTGTAGATGGGATGTCAGACAGAAAAAGTTTGGGAGACTTCGTGAGTCTTAGAAAGAGTCTCTTCCGCGTCATCGCTTTGGTCTGCGAGAAGGCTTTCTTGTAAAGCCAAGTCCTCTGGTGACTGCTTGTCACGATTTGCCGTCTCTTCTTTGGTCAGCTAGAAATGGTGGCTCAGAGGTATGGTTCTGTGCAGCGAAAAAGTACGCTTACTGCCACATAGATGGCCGAAAGCACGATAATGGCAGTGCCGAGAATCGATAACAATGGCGGTTTAGCATGAAAGAATATTTGGTCGAATATGATGGCGTAGACCACCTGCAAAATGGTCAACAGCATATCAAAATTTGCGGGGAAAAAAATCGCACCTGAATATACACTGCCATAGTACTCCGACCAACTGCTTGTCTCTGCAGGCCCATCGTCATCAGTACCTAAAAATATGGGCATCAATATCATTGATCTTTGCATCACCAGGCAGAGCGGCATCGAACCTGCGCAAAAAATCCATTGAATCCAATCATCAGAAATAGAGCGAGCCACTCGAGCTTTGTGGGAAGGACAATTTTGGTGCGCATGGCCAGCATCCTAAGTAAAGGTGATCACTGTACTGAAGGTCACACATGAGACGCAGGCCACCTACGCAATAGTCGACACGATGACGCATTGCGAGGAGAATGCGACAATATTGTGCAAGGGGTGCGCTCGAGTACCGATGGCACGAATAATTGTGTCTATGACCGATTTTTGAACAACAGTAGATATTCAGACCTGTAGCGATACTCACAGACTCCTGTCGCGCCCAGGGCGCCGAGTATTGAGACGCTATGGGCGGGGTGTGAGCACTCGTCTCGCGATCAGCTCGAGAGCGCCGTCACTTACCCGACAGCCCCAAGTCGCTGAGACGCCGTCACTTGTGAAGTCATAGCACCATTCAGAGCGGGGCCAGAGCCAGCCTCTCCGGGGTCTGGAGACGCAGATGGGACCTCAGCTGTGCTGCCAAAGAGGAAAGGCGGCCGAGCAATCAGGATGACGCCGACCAGACTGCAAACTACATGGTGTTCAGAGACCTT